GTTTCGCCTGCATCTATGGCAAGCATCCTCAGAGGTAGCCTACCTCTGAGGATGCTTGCCATAGATGCAGGCGAAACATCAGAAGAGAATGCCTCTAGAACATGGCCATATGGCCCGAAAAAACCTACAACAACCCAGTGATTCCAGCCATGAAAGCCTTCGACAATACATGGTCTTAGACAGTCTTAGTGAGGTAGTATCCCAGGTAAAAAAATAATAATTCTGGTTTTCTTCTCCATTCATCATGTTCCCTCTTTGCCACTCAACGTTGTCCTCAGAATTAATGTAAAGACAAAGTACTTCTCAAATTTCAGTGCAATATGGTATTGTTGTCATAAATGTAGAAACAGAATCCTGAAGTGCTGGAATTATAGTTGCTGTTATTTTGTATTCTGTCAGAAACCGTTACTTTGCAGCTCAGGAATTTTAGCATTTCTACTTAAGGTAATCACTAATATAGTAAAATAACTTCTTTATATTTTATTATGAACTTTTGATTTACAACAGAATGTAAACACAGACCCTGGGCAGTATGACCTTTTTCCTCCGCCAGTACCCACTTTTCCAGTCAAGTAAGTAAAAAGACTTTTCCTCCTCTTCCTTTCTCTTTGTGTACAAATTAAAACCCAGGACTTCAAAATGTACTTTTAAAAAGTAGTTTGTTATGCAGAGAGTTCCAAGAAAATACCTTGTTGCCATTAATGTTCTTTTCAATGCTTGTTGAACTGTCTTTTGCTTTACTCCTCCTTTTTATTAGTTTTTACAAGCCCCCCCCCCCGATGGCAGGACTGCTGACCGACAGGTTGGTGGTTCAAATCCCGGAAGCGGGGTGAGCTCCTATCTGTCAGCTCTAGCTTCCCATGAGAGGGCATGAGAGATACCTCCCACAGGATGGTAAAACGTCAATCATCCGGGCATCTCCTGGGCAACATCCTTGCAGACGGCCAATTCTCTCACACCAGAAGCAACTTGCAAGTTTTCAAGTTGCTCCTCACACACAGAAAACTTAGTTTTTGCTGGCTAATTATGTTGCTTGGAATAACAGCAGGCCTATGATATAATCTAAACGCATAAGAACCTGACTGTGCTTGGAAGTTAAGCAGTGACAGCCTTGGTTGGTGCTTGGATGGGAGATCACCAATAGGCTATATTTCAGAGGAAGGAACAGGCAAAACAATCTCTGAGTATTCCTTGCCTAAGAAAAAACCCTATGCAGCACCAGGTTGGAGAAGGCCATTCTTCACATTGAAAAGGATTTTTTTTCTAAAGGAGTGCATAAGATGAACAACAAATAATAAATGTAAACAAATCATATTATATTGAATCAAGTTGTATCACTGAACAGCCAGAGAAGTATATCATGTTTTGAAAATGTACCCCTTCTTTTCCATTTCCTATGATTTTCTCTGGTCCTTTTCCCTCCTGCAAATCTAGGAATTATATGTTTCGATCTGGAGTACAAAGGTTTCCCATTTTTGGCCCGGTAAGTACCATACTAATTAATAATTGAAGAAAAAAAAGAAAAGAAAGCTATGTTTAAAGACATCTTTTTTTGTAGATCTAAAACTTAATATTTAGACTTCCCAGAGTGGTTTCAAACAAGGCTTTTATCATGCCGTCATCCAATAGGTTCAGGCAAAAGAAAACTGCTGCAACCTCTCCTAGTTTCTATGTTTTTTCCTAATTAACATTTTTTGTCATCTTGATCACCTGATGTTGATTGGCCATGTTTTCCAATTTCCATCTGTGAATATTGGAGGGTAGGAAATGCAGGCTATCATTACCCAGTTGCTATTGTGCCCCTTCAAATAATTTTTGACTATTGGCGATCCTAAGTATCCCTGTCACAGGGGTTTCTCCACCAGGTTGTGATTTCAACCCAAGTCCAGCCCTTAACATTCAAACAAGACCATCTTAGACTGGATCTATGCAGCGAAATAATGCAGTTTGAACTGCATTATATGACAGTGTAGATCTAGCCTTAGAATCAATCCATGGATATCTTGTGTTTCCAAATTGTAGATGCTTGTCACGGGATTTAGGAATGAAGGCATTGAGATAGGAAAGAGAGAATGTGCCTGGAATAAGAGAACTTATACTAGAAATCTGGTCTCCCCAAGAGTTTTTAGCATTCCATGTACATGATGTAGGGGGTCACACATTTCACTCTTGATGGATGTGTTGATTGCGATTGTCCAGATACGGACATGAAGAACGAGTGTGCTGGCATTATTGATGCATCTGTGCTTCCAGTTAATAATGCCCTGGATTTAGGAGCAGAAGCAATGAGGAAGCATCGAGATCTTGTCATCAATATTAAGCAAGTGTATCAGTTGGAGAGCCTATGAGTCACTCCTATCATAATCTTGATAAATGACTTGAACCTGGAAGTATGGAAAAAAGAAGCCAAGACCATATGAAGCTTCCCCACAGACAAATCAGTCATGGCTGAAGCTGTCAGTTTATCACACTGTCAGGTTTATCGAGAACACCTTGAGCATCACAAATATTGAGGACAGTGAAAACTTTTCATGCTCCCCTCTACGCATGCATATATGAATGCTCACTCAAGCACAAATGTTGCACAAAGGAGACTTGAATAATAAGAGGTTGGATGGTCATCTGTCAGGGGTGTTTTGATTGTGTGTTCCTGCATGGCAAGAGGTTGGACTGGGTGGTCCTTAGGGTCTCTTCCAACTCTGTAATTCTATGAATCTGAGATCTGAGCAAAATGTGCACGTGAATGATATACACTCAGCCTTTCACATTAATAAGACCTCTATGGAAGTGATATTCCCTCCAGGTCCTCCGGTTGGCCTAGAGGAAGTTGTCCATAGCATAGAGTTGCACTGGAGGACCTAAAAATTACTACAGGGAATCTGTGAATAATCAAATCCACAAATATGGTGGGATGACTATATTTGTTTTCTCTCCTAGAGCCTGCTAATCTTTAAGTCTATATATTTTTAGGTTAGCCCCCAGTGGCGCAGTGGGTTAAAGCACTGAGCTGCTGAACTTGTTGACCGAAAGGTTGCAGGTTTGAATCCAGGAAGCAGGGTGAGCTCCCGCTGTTAGTCGCAGCTTCTGCCAACCTAGTAGTTTGAAAACATGCAAATGTGAGTAGATCAATAGGTACCACTCCAATGGGAAGGTAATGGCGCTCCATGCAGTCATGCTGGCCACATTACCTTGGAGGTGTCTATGGACAAGGCTGGCTCTTCGGCTTAGAATTGGAGATGAGCACCAACCTCCAGAGTCAGACACGACTGGACTTAATGTCAGGGGAAAACCTGTACCTTTACTATTTTAAGGAAGATATTTAAATCTGCTTAATACATTCATGGGAGACCACCAATCAGGTGCTAGAGGCTATAGTTCAGAAAAGGGAACCGATAAAACCATCTTTCAGTATTCCCTGCCTAAGAAAACCTGATAAAATTCATGGGATTGTGTTAAATTAACAGGAAACCTGAAGACACACACAAACACATGATTACAGTGTTTAGGCGATTAACAACGTCTAAACACTGTAATCCTGGTGAGATTGCATACCATCATTCTTGATCACAGGGTACATCTGCTAAAGCACCAGGATGAGTTTTCTGTTTTCTAGCTTTGTAGGCTATATTACAGAGGAAGGAATGGCCAAGCCATCTCTGAATGTTCCCTGTCTAAGGAAACCCAATGAAACCCATGAGGTTGCCATAAGGCAAGGTAGAGCATGATGAGCAGAAAATTATGCATATCTAGCAGGTCAGACTACAGCCTTCAGGAATCTGTAATGATGTGGGTGTTTATGCAGCAATCCTGGTTACCAGAAAATGCAAGGGGAAGCTATTAGCATATCCCTGTTTTCATCTGGGAAATATCTGAGAGTAGGAGGAAAGTATTTCTTCATATAAGACAAAGCTCATGATATGGATTTTACATTTACTGAAACACAATCGAGTCAAGGAAAGCTACTCTTCTAGACTGAAACTTTGATAATCCCCAGCTAGAAAGTGTTTTGAGAACTCTAGTCCCAAACAGTAATTTTCCTTAGCTCTGCTGCTGGCCAATTTAATGAGGGTTTTCAAATGTGTTTGGGCAAGATTCTGAAGAATATAAGGAGGTACAGGTTGAGTATTCTTATCTGAAATGCTTGGGACTAGAAGTGTTTTGGATTTCAGATTTTCCTCCCAGATTTTGGAGTACTTTCATATACATAATGAGATATCTCAGAGCTGGGGGGTAGGTCTAAAAATGAAAATAATATGTACACTTCAGACACATAGCCTGTAGGAAATTTTGTACACAATACTATTTCAAATAGTAATTTAATGCATTCTAGTTTATTTCATTGAACAACCAGAAAGCAGAGATGTCACTACCTCAGCCACCCATGTGGACAATTTTGGATTTTGAAGTATTTTTAATGACACAATTCCAGATAAATGATACTCAACCTATACATTTCACTGAATCTCCAAGTCATTGTGGCCATTGACCACATTGAATGTAAGTTAAAGTGCAAACAAGTAAAGGAAATTCCTGATTACATTGTCCTTGCATTTCCTCATCTAACAAGTTCTATATTTCTTTTACCTATAAAGTTGATTAAAAAATAAAACACACACACAATAATTTCCCAAACAAAGTCACTAATGGACAATATGGCCACCAATCTCATGGACCTTTTTGACATTTTGTTTTACTGCCTCTTATCTCTCAGAAAGTTATGTTCATAGGCTTTGTTTTGTTTTGCTGTTTAAGTCAATTCAACTTTGCTCTTTATTGTTGTTTAGGATTTAAATGCCTCTAGTTTTTCAAAACATTTGTTAATATTTAGATGTCAATTATGTAAAATCTTTGATCAAACAGAGAGGAAGATTTTGGCTTAAACAAGACTCCTTCTTCATTGCCATATAAAATCCAGATTATCTGCTTTGAGCTGGACTATATGCAGCGTAGACTGTTATAATCCAGTTCAAAGCAGATAATGTGGATTATATGCTTTAATATCTGGATTATATCACAGTGTAGAAGAGGCCTTAGTTATTCTTGTCTCCTTGGAAGAAATCCTTGCAATAGTATATTGGAGTTTCTTTGAAAAGAAAAGGGAAAGGGATTCTGCGTAACACGAATTCACCAGGGACATTATCTGGCTTTTAAATAGATGTTAACCTTTTATTTGAAAATCCTCTAGGATCTCATTAACGCCCCTGAGCCAGGTGGCCCTCTGTGACAGAAGAGGCATTCCATGTAAACAACACCTTCTTAAATGAGTTATTGATACAGCTGCTGTCCAATATTTGGCAACACACTCGCTGTAACCCACATCTTAACATTTGCCTGAATCAGAGCAGAATTGCCAGCCAAGTGGCCTCACATTGTGTGCTTCACAGCCACTTTTTTTGTGTCTTTGAGGATAGGTTTTGCACTCTTTTATTCATCTCAAATAAATTGCCTCTTGTTCATTGGTCTCGGATTGTGCTGTTTAGAGATGTGTTGGCTGCTGTCTCAGGCAAAAGATATTAAGGGACACAGAATAGACATTGATTCATTCATTTACACATACACACATGCACACTACAACTCATCTTTCATCAAATAATGGGACCCAAAGAGGCTTGCAACATGATGTTGCACCAAACACAAATTATAATGTTCAAAGTCAGATAAGAGAAGGGTATGAAATGCAGCGGCTGAAGCTGAACTTTCAGTTTTCTCATTACTCACTGACTCTAATCCAATTGAGGCTAGCAACTGAATTTAAGCCATGGATTCAATCCAACCTTCCTTCATTTGTTCCGTGGCTCACTGGATAATTTATTATATATATATATATATATATATATATATATATATATATATATATATGAGACATTGTTTCATATTTGTGTATATGTCTTTTAATATTTTGCTGGTTTATCTCCAGTACAACAACTCCCCCTGCCAAAAAAAATTATTTGTGGGACAAGTACATGTGGTTTCATTTATCTGCCTCCAACAAAATATGGTGTCTCTAGGCATTTTTAAGCCCACCAACATGGCTATGGTATTCTAGGGCCAGAAGGTCTTAATTTCAATAGAGTTCAATATTATCCATGATTTTGTGTATCCACACAAAGTCTGGAAACATATCCCTTGCAAATATGGGGTTCATACCATATTTATAGTCATGCAAAATTATCTCCTCTCTCCTTCCTCCTCCTCCTCCTCCTCCTCCTCCTCCTCCTCCTCCTCCTCCTCCTCCTCCTCCTCCTCACGATTTCTTGCATTCTGTATTTCTGGTGAAATTCTATCACAAATGCTGTATGTAGCTTGTCAAGAGGGGTTTAAGTCAGAGGATGACACATTGTTTCACCTACTTAGTTGTTCTAAAGCAGTGGTTCCCAACTTTTTGATCATGGACTACTTGACCAGGGACCATTCTCCAACATTAGTACCAAAAGGGTTATGAATCAATTTTTGAGCAACTTTAGATTTGATTTGTTTATTTGGAGTGCTGATTCAGAAATTTGTCTTAGGTAGACCACATCAGCTCTAGTTTCTGATACAGAACATATGCCATCTAGTAGTCGTCATTTGCTCACCCACAAAAAACTATATTTAATAAGACTCGACGCTATAATAGGGTTTTGTGAGACCGGTCGCTCTCTTTGCAATGGTGTAGTAATGATGAGGCTGCAAACCATATTTTAGTTGTTCCGGACCACTGGTGTTTCACGGACCACAGGTTGGGAATTACTGTTCTAAAGAAATATCACTATATTTTGTCTTAAGAAGTGGAAATTTTCAAGAGATCTGTATGTAGCCCAACCTCCATATTTTTCTCTCTCGTCTTGACAAAACAAATCAGAATTGCTGCAGGGTTAAGAAAAAGGCATACACGCACTCTCTCACAAGAGATGTCACAATTTCAAATGTGTTAAAAATTATCGTTTTTATGCTAAGAAAAGAATCTGACAGATGCTAACACACCAACACAAGAAAAAATAGGCTGTAGCCCATCTACTGAGTATAAATAGATGTATTTTTCTTGAGTTTACAACAGTAATATTGAAATGTTACTTGACAAGTTGGTTCCACTTGTGTCTGCAAGTGATTGAAAGTAGATGGATTTGTGTAAGTGATTTTATTACAGAGCAACAAAACAGCACATAATCTGTATCTTTTACTCATATATTAAAAGGTTGGTTTGTTTGTTTTTGCAAGATAAAGTCGATATCCTGTAATTACATCTCAATCATGCAAACTTATCAGAATTGATCGGTGTTGCTCAGATTGGTGAAAAGAGATACAGTCAGCCTCCATATTAATCGATTTTGTATCCATGGATTCAATCATCCACAGCTTCAAAATTTATTTCCCCCCATACACAAAAATGTAAATGAAAGCAAGCCCTGATTTTGCCATTTTATACAAGAGACGCCATTTGGCCCAGCTACATTTTTACAGTCTTGTGCCCTCCAGAGTGTGGTTAAGATAGCAAAAGTCATGAATGAGGAAGAATGTTTACGGTTTGCTTCTGCCTGAGCTTACTGGGAAGGGCAAGACTCCATCTCCTCCTTTCCTCTCTCCTCTGTTGAGTTAACTAAGTTCAACTACTTTTGCATTTTAAACACCATTTGCACCTGTTGAAGTAAGCTGAGGGCAAAGAGGGAAAGGTGGAGAGGGAGAGAAAAACTGAGAAATTTTGAAAGCAGCTGAAAAAGTAGGATGATAGAGAAATAATCAAGACTGTCCCTACTCAATTGCGACAGTTGGAGGGTATGTGTTTTCTGGGAAAAGATACCCCAGACCTTATGATGGAATTCACATGGTTCATAGGGCTCTGTACCAGCCTCATGCTTGAGATGACATTTACTTGGAACAATTACATAAACAGTCTTTAGTGTTTCAGCTACAGAGATCCTGGGAATGTCCCAAGTGCTTCATGTATTAAAGTATAATACGTGTATTTGGAGGACTGAGAAATTATGAAGCTGCCCTGTACTGAGTTAAACCCAGAGTTTAGAAAATTTATTTTGGTCATGATGGTTGCAGGGTGTCTGGAATTCCTACTCCATAAACAAAAGAAAAGAAAAGAAAAAAAGGAATGGATAACTGGTTTAGACAAAACATTGCTCTAACTAGGGACCTCATCATATTGATGCCCCCACCCTGGGCATGTTTCACTGGAAATCACAGGTAAAATTAAGGTGTGCGGGGCACCTTGCGGCGACCCACACACTCTCCCTTCTTCCCCCATCACATGGAGGCATTGGGGCAAGGCACCCTGTCCCTTCTCTCATCGTACATGGAAAGTGTGGCAATGCAGATTGCCATGTTACCATTTCCCCCATCAGACGGGGGAGAAAGGAAAAAACTGCAGGTAGCTCCATCTGTGCTACCCAAAAGTCGATTTCTAACTGTGATTGACGAGGAAGCGACTTGGGATGCTTCCTCACCACTTCGTCCATCATTGGAACAAGGCCACAAAGAAGAGAAGGCTGAGAGGAGACATCATGGCCATGTATTAAAATGTGAGGGAGGTCATAGGGAGGAGGGAGCAAGCTTATTTTCTGCTATTCTGGAGACTAGGATGCAGAGCAATGGCTTCAAATTACAGGAAAGGAGATTCCACTCGAACATAGGATAAACTTCCTCACTGTGAGAGCTGTTCACCAGTGGAATTCTCTGCCCCAGAGTATAGTGGAGGCTCCTTCTTTGGAGGCTTTTAAGCAGAGGCTGGATGGCCATCTGTCAGGGGTGATTTGCAATTTTCCTGCTTCTTGGCAGGGGGTTGGGTTGGACTGGATGGCCCACGAGGTCTCTTCCAACTCTATGATTCTATGACTCCATTTTGTCAGCATGCAAAATCGAGGAGAAGCATGATGAGATCCTAGTAGAATGATCTTGTTCATGTTTGTATAGAGATCTAAAAGAGTAATTTTTTTATTACATTGTAGAAAGAAGGTCCAGGCCCAGGTGAATATGAAATAAAAGAAAATCCACCTACACCTATACGCTCATGCTTCGTATCAAAGGTCCCACGTCTGTTGCCAGCTCATACTGTGAGTATCACTTGGCCAATATGCCAAGCCAAGATTTGTTTCTAGTACTTAGCAGTACAGAGCATGACCTAAGCTTGCAAAAGTTATGTTTTAGACTGCAACCCCAAGTGTAACAAAGCCAAGTTCTGGAATAGAACTGGAATGATACAAGAGGATATTGTAAGGACTTGGCAATCTCAGAGATATTTTAGGTCTAGACTCTGAATTTTAAGTTTCAGAATGGACAAAAGAAAATGATATCTCTTGCCTTTGAGATAGAACAAGAAAAGTAGCAAAGATAGGCTAATATACCAAATTCATGTTGACCATTTTTTTCATCTCCCTTGTAGGGAAAGTGCATACTTTGGAATATAGGACATACTTTGGGGGTGGAGGAGGAATGAATTAAAAATGCAACCTATTCTCAGAGTAAACCTAATGATGCATGGCCTCTCTTCTTGAACAAATACACAAATCCCAAAATAATGCTTAATGTGTTGGGTGAGTGGGCTTATTAACAAAAGGCCCTCTCCAGAAATGTACAGCAGAGTAACTTATCATCATCAGCATGTATTCACCTCAGGCCCGTAGCCAGGATTTCGTTTCGGGGGGGAGGGGGCTGAATTTTTTTCAGGGGGGGTTCGGGGGGGCTGAGTTTCGGGGGTGGCCTGAGTCTGAGTGAAAGAAGGTCTACCCTAGCAAACCTTTTGTATCATTACCCCAATACCCCCATGCATATGGGATATATTGAGTATGGTGATCAGATCATGATATGAATAAACATAACAGTTTAAATAATGCACCAGTAAGGCCTTTTCGCGAACCACCATGAGAATTTCGGGGGGGGGGGGGGTAGCCCCTCACCCCCCCCCCCCCCCGGCTACATGCCTGGCATGACCCATCACCAGTAGCCCAAAGTGATAAGAAGAACAAAAACACACAGGCCAATGTTATCTCTTCCATAAGAGGTTTTTCTTTGTAGTAAAATAATATGGTTGAACTATTTACAAGAACAAGATTTCTATAACATAAATAAAGTTCTTTATACTTCCTTCTTTGCTTCCACACTGGGCTTCTTTCTCATTCAGATAAACAACTTCACTCTCACAGAGCTTCCTCTCACAGCGAACTTACACAGGAGCTTCACACAATAGCTTTACACACAAGGCCTTCAACCTGAAGATTCTTACACCAGGCCTTCTCACACCAGACCTTCTCATAGACTAAAGCCTAACTCACACTGTGAGGCTTAACCGCACATAGACTAAGACCTATCTCACACTGTGAGGCTTCCTCACAGACCGAGACCTTTCTCCCACTGAGGTCTACCTCAGACTGATGGCTACTAAGCTACAGGCACACCTATTTATTTGTCGTGTCAGGGCAACCAGTCAATTGTATTACATTTCTAACAGAACAAAACAAGCAAACAGACAAAATACAAAATTTGCGAGTTTGGTAGTCGATTAAATGTCCTTTGACCAGTAGCTGGCCACTTGGAGTGCTTCTGGTGTTGCTGCAGTTTGCTGAGTCACTGCATTAATTTAACCTGTCTCTATAGTTTTGCTTTATGTAAGGCCTGCCTTCATTTAATTGATCATTGCCTTCTTTCTTTTTTTTCTCTGCAGAAAATACCTGGACCAGGAACATACTGGCCTACAAAGCAGTCTCCCAAACAGCCTAGAACCATTGCCAGTATGGGTCGGGAGCACACAATCTTCTTTAGTAATATTCGAGACATTTAGCACGTGGGATGGGCACTAAGTATGAAAGAAAGGCAAACATCCACAGTTCTTCTCTATGTAATCTCCTATTTTAATTCATCCAAACGGATCTGTCCACCTTTTGTTCTTTTGGCCTTGATGTCATATATCAATACTATTGCATTCCCTCAGTTCTGTGGTTATGCTTCATTCCCAGACTTTTTCAAACATCCTTGATGCTAACCATGACTAAATAGGTTTGCCTGTTGCTGGATTGGGTGCAATTTAGCCTGAATTCAACTGAAAAGAGTTTTTACAGACAATAACCTTGAATGGATGCAAGCTCTGCATTACAAGAAGAAGAAGAAACATACTCATTGCAAAATAATTGAAGAGGGTAAAATATTTACACCCTTTCCCAAATTCAGAAAAAGGGATTGTTTTCTGGTACTGTTTTTATAATATCATGCCTTTCTGTTTTCAGTCCACCCGAAGCATGTATTTGACCTGCAAGGAACTTGTTCCATTTTACAGGCACAGAAATCAGTGGGGCCACTCTTGCACTGCCATCCCCTCTTTTCTGCATTTCCAACATGTAAACTATTTTCTACCAATTCAACGGAGGCACCTTTTAGATAAGCAATGGCATGGCAGCGAAAATGCAGTTGTTTTTATTAAAATAACAATTACAGGAAAAATAATGTAAGAATGTTCTTGGTCTTTTTTATTTTATTTATTTATCGTGTCAGAAGCGAATTGAGGTTACAGTTGTAATGTATTTGAAAACACAAACAAAGTTAAAAACTTGAAATTATATTATTTTGACCAGAAGCTTGCCACTTGGAGTGCCTCTGGTGTTGCTATAAGAAGGTCCTCCATTGTACATGTGGCAGGGCTCAGATTGTATTGTAACAGGTAGTCTGTGGTTTGCTCTCCTCCACACTCACACTGTGTAGCCCCATTTCTTGAGGTTGGCTCTACATCTCGTGGTGCCAGAGTGCAGTCTGTTCAGCACCTTCCAAGTTGCCCAGTCTTCTGTGTGCCTAGGAGGGAGTCTCTCATTAGGTATCAGCCATGGAATGAGGTTCAGGGTTTTAGCCTGCCACTTTTGGACTCTCACTTGCTGAGATGTTCCTGTGAGTATTTCTGTAGATCTTCAAAAGTTATTGCTTGATGTAAGGTGCTGGCGTGCTAGCTAATATCTGAACATGGGCCCGAGATGTCACTGCCATGGTCTTTTCATTATTGGCTACTACTTCCCTATGAATGTCCAGTGGTGCAATACCGGCTAAACAGTATAATTTCTCCAGTGGTGTAGGGCGTAGACATCCTGTGATAATGCAGCATGTCTCATTCAGAGCCACATCCACTGTTTTAACATATTCCACACTGGGCATGCATATTAAGCAGCAGAGTAGCAAAGAGAAAGGGCAGACGTCTTCACTGTGCCTAGTTGTGATCCCCAGATTGTGCCAGTCAGCTTTCGTATGATATTATTTCTAGTGCCCATGACTTGAGAGAAGCCTACTTGCAGGATTGTAACACATCTGGTCATCCCTTGGGCAACGTCTTTGTAAACGGCTGATTTTCTCACACCAGAAGTGATTTGCAGCATGCAACCAACCAACCAAACCGTCTTTTTGATGAAAATAATTTATTTTGTTTCATTGTTGACCTTCTATTCTTTAAAAAAGTTATAATTTTCATTAAGTAAAGGATAATTTTATATACAATCATTTTGTGCTTCAGATAATCATGTGGATATTTTTGGAACTTTTGGATTTTGGAATTCTGTATATGGGATGTTCAACCTATACTGCGTACCTTCCTTAAGCAACATTGGAAGAAATATTTATATTGGCATGACATCTGTTCATACCAGCATAAATTACCAAGAGGATTCTGGTCCTCGATTTCACAATGGTAAAATTGCTCTAGAAATACATTTCAGTTCAAGGTTGTCCTGCTCACAGAGAACTTCTGCCTGCCTTGAAATTCAGCAGGAAGCAACTCATTGATAAATGAGCCAAAGTCTCTCAGGTCAACAGATCATTATCAAAAGGAATCTTGAGGACAAGACTTAAAAGAAATAGGTGCAGCACTTCACTATGTTTGATTTCCAGTCCACATAATCTCAACTGTAGCTCATTTTCAGAAGTGCAGCTGAATTTCATTAGCTTGAAAGCAAGGATCAAAGTTCAGAAAGTCATCAGCTCTCCTGTGGTGTTGGTATCAAGTGTTGATATGTGTGTACTGGAGGGGGTTGGAGAAGCTGCTGCTTACCTGGCAACAGGGGTAGTGTTCTGTCATTGTAAACTGACTTGTGGGCAATTTCAATTTAGGGTGCCCCTGTGATTCCAAGACCTCCAATTCACCCAATTCTTAACAGGCTCAGATGTTTCAGACTCGGGGCCGTGGCTTCCCTAACAGAGTCTATCCCTCTGGAGTGCTGATTCATAAAGTAGGCTTGGATGGGGCCAGCACTAGGTTGAAGCTTAATCCATGCAGGACAGAGGTGTCAGAGGGCAGATCATAGAACAGGAATTCGGTTTGTGCTGGATAGGGTTGCACTCACCCTGAAGATACAGGTACATGCCTTAATTACAACCCATTTCGGTTATTGTAATGTGCTCTACTTGGAGCTGACATTGAGGAGGGTTTGCAAACTTTGGCTGGTTCAAAGAGCTACCACCAGATTGGGGCTGGCTACAGGAAGCACACAACCCCAGTGTTGCAACAGCTCCATGGGCTACCAGTACATTTCTGGGCACAATTAAAAGTGCTGGCTGTGGGCTATAGAGCCCTAAATGGCTCAGGGCCAGGATGTTTGTCATATTGTATCTCCTTGTATGAGCTAGCTGAAATCATCAGGAGAGGCCTTTCTCTTAGTCCCACCACCATCGCAAGATGATCCCCTCCCTTTTGTCCTTCCAAAAGCAGGCTAAAACCTTTTCATTCATGAAGGCTTTTAAGTTAGCAAACTTTTAAGAACAAGACAAGGTGTGTTTTCAAACAGCCAAGAAACCCCTTTATCTAATTGAAAAGATGTGTAACAGGACACTGGCAAGAGCACCTGATGCACATTGAGAATGATGTGCATCGGTGCACATTTCACAATTCATATAGGACACTGATGTGCATTGAACACGTTGCCAGCTTTTACACACAGTAGTGTATCCTCTACCAGACACAAATGGCACAAAACTGCACAGTCTAATTCACAAAGACGTAAGTCCACTTGCAAAGATGTAAGCTCTCAACAAGATACCAACTAGAAATGATAAAAGTCTGCTTCCAGTGATATTCTCTTTCCCAGGACCCTTCCACAGAGCCATGTCACCCAGAATATCAAGGCATAAAATCCCACAATATTTGCTTTGAACTGGGTTATCTAAGGACCCGTCCAGACAGCCCCTTTATTGTGGAAACTTCCACAATAAAAAGGGGGCTGTGATGTTCTGGGCAGTCCCGCATTAATTCGGTACAAACCAGGAAAACCCTGGTTTGTCCTGAATTAATTTGTCAATGGATTTATTCCGCACCTTCTTGGAAGCCATGAGATAAATCCAGTACTTCCGGGTCTGGACTGCAGAATACTGCAGTCCAGGCAGCATCCCCACAATATACCTTCCCCCTAAGCCCCCAGACCCCATAGAAAAGTAGTAAAAACTTACCTATCTTCCATTAGAGGCCTCGGCAAGCACACCCAGCATGTCGAAATAACGTGTCAGGAGTGCACAAGTTAACAAAGGAGGAAAATCACTCCCCCCAGATTTCCTGGCATGTCATTTCTACATGCTGGGAGAGCTTGCCAAGGCTTCTAATGGGGAATAGGTAAGTTTTTACTACTTTTCTAAGGGCTCCGAATGCTTGGGGGGAGGAAGGTAGGGCCTCTGGATGTTTTCTTGGGTTAGTCCTGAGAGAACATCTGGACACTCACACGAGAAAGCATGTTGTGGGTGCAGACAGCCCCTCACAAACATCCACATTTTAAAAACATGGATGTTTGTGGGATAAAGGGCTGTCTGGAACTGCCCTGAGACCACACTGCTATACATTCCAATACAAAGCAGATAATGTGGGATTTTCTTCTGTTAGCATGTTAAAATAGAGAGAAGAGTCCGTTTTCAAGAATCAGGTGCTAGCTGATTCCTAACTTAGTAAAATGAGGAGGAAGCGGGAAAGTTTGGGAAAGTGTTGACAATAGGATGAAAAGGACATAGGATGACCAATTATCCCAGAAGATGGGTAAAGATGCTAAGAAATGAATAGATGATTCCCTGTGCTTTCCCCCTCTCAGCTTTTAAAATGTCAATGTGATGAGGTCCTCTTGACTCCCAAATAATTGCTCTCTGATCGTTTTCTTGCACTCCTGCCAACCCTTCTGGCTTTTAAAGAATGATATGACCTGAGTCGAATTGCCAAGGCAAAGTGTCCTGTCACTGAAGTGCAATGCCACCCAGCTGTGACTGTGTGTTGTTCTTGTGGCTTTCTTGAAGGGAGCAGGGAAGAATCTTCAACTTTGATAAACAAACACCTCAGTTAACAAAGCAGATGTGTTCCTGAGCATGAGGATGAAACAGAGCAAAAAGAATAGAATTAGGTTCTACACCACAAAGAAAGAGCTTGTCATGTTTCAACAGATTGTTCTATTCAAAAGTAACAATGTGCGCATGTGCAATAAATCAACCAGGTCAGACAAATCTTGCATAATTGAACCTCACTTTTGAACCCCACAAAGACTACCTGTGAGTTTGTTCATACTGAGGAGGGAGCAAACATGTGCTCTATTGTTCTAGAGATTACTGTCCCATCTACACTGCCAAATAATGCAGTTTGAAATTGGTCCGTGTAGATTTATATAATGCAGTTCAATGCAGTTAATCTACATTTTATGAATCTACATTGACCATTATATGCCAGTGTAGATGGGGCCTAGGTACTCTGTAGCCTAGACACACATCGAATTGAAGGAAAGCTTTCTTCATGATGCACAGCTACTTTTGGCGAGTATCTTGTGTGTTTACTTTTTTAAAAAATTA